GGGCATTAGAGCTGGCACTGGACCTGGCATTGAAAATCGGAAATAGATATCCAGAGCAAGATTTAGGCATTTATCTGACAAGGCCGGGAAAACAGAACATGAGACGGCAAAGACAAAATTAACTAATTACTGGAGGTGCCTAGATACTACACATAGGTGGGAGAGAAGGGGACCTCGCGGTCGCGAGGTGGTGCACCTCTAGTAAGTATGAACCAATTATTAATCATATCAACCAAGTTCACTGCTAATTACTGATTCAAATATTTTCCTGACAGGTATCGACTCCTATTTAGTATTCAACCATCATACAGAAAGCTTTTCTTATCGGTATAGACTTTACTTGCCATTCCGATTTGTATGCATACGTATCAAGCGATTGCCAAAAATTCTCACAAATCTTATTTAGTATTCCTGATTTACATTCTGTCACAACAAGTGTGCATACAAATCGAATCATAGCAAACCATACCAACAAATCTCAATTGCAAACTCTGATGCAGTTTCTGTTTGGATTGATATTATACCTCTCAAGCTATCACAAACAGTAGTAACCAATTTCACCATTAGTGTTTGCTTTACATGTTGTCCTAGTAGACATGCATATCTATCCAGCGATTCAATATTGCTCAGTAGTGTCTAGAACAATAATACGATACAACCCGAAGACTGGTAATTGCAACCTTCATGGTTACGTATCGGAATTAGAATGTAGGACAGAATACTGAAGTGATACTTTTCTATCTATTTTTCTTCAGGTCGTTGTTATTCTATTGGTACAAAATTCAATTTTCGGTCAAAATGTAACAGATCAATGTGTATTTGGTGGTGGTTGGAACCTGGATGTGGGTAGTTAGGGTTATGAGCGTTCAAATCTGAATTGGTTTATGTACAAAATACAATCTTCGGTCAAAATGAAATACTTGAATGTGTATTTGGTGGTGGTTGGAACCTGGATGTGCGTAGTTAGGGTTAGGAGCGTTGAAAGTTGGTTTGGTTACGTGTACAAAATACAATCTTCGGTCAAAATGAAATACTTGAATCTGTATTACGAGGTGGTTTAAACCTGGCTGTTGGCGGTTAGGGTTACGAGCGTTGAAAGTTGGTTTGGTTACGTGTACAAAATACAATCTTCGGTCAAAACAAAATACATAAATCTGTATTTGGTGGTGGTTTAAACCTGGATGCGGGTGGTTAGGGTTACGAGCGTTGAAGTTGGATTTTGGTTAGGGTTAGAGAATACGGTTTTCGGTCAAAATGAAATACAATGTGTATTTGGTGGTGGTTGAAACCTGGATGTCGGTAGTTAGGGTTACGAGCGTTGAAAGTTGGTTTGGTTACGTGTACAAAATACAATCTTCGGTCAAAATGAAATACTTGAATGTGTATTTGGTGGTGGTTGGAACCTGGATGTGGGTAGTTATGGTTACGAGCGTTGAAGTGGGATTTTGGTTAGGGTTAGAGAATACTGTTTTCGGTCAAAATGAAATGCATGAATCTGTATTACGAGGTGGTTTAAACCTGGCTGTTAGCGGTTAGGGTTACGAGTGCTGCCATCTGGTTCGGTTAGGTGTGCAAGATAGAATTTTCGGCAGAAATGAAATACATAAATCTGTATTTGGTGGTGGTTTGTACCTGGCTGTTGGCGGTTAGGGTTACGAGCGTCGAAGTGGGATTCGCCCAATGCGGTAACCCGGGGTTCAGAATCTGAAATTCGTGTATTTGATCGAACCACAAGATGGGAAAACACGGCATGATCAAGTTTTGAACGCCGTCATGAGTGTAGGATAGAGAAGGCACGCTCGGTACGGTGCAGTTGTCGATTGTTGTGAGTGTCGGTGATGGAGTGAACAAGGACGTGTCGCCAAGACTCACAGTGAGTTACCCTACTCAACAGCCCCCAACCACCACCTCCGCCCCCGCAATTACGACCACGACCCCCTGTACGTGCATACCTGATGATGGGAATGGACTCGGGTCGTCCTGTTCGACCCATAGCCACGGAGCCCGGAATTGTGGGGCGACGGTTCCCGGGCAACCTCAAAATCCTGTCCGACATTCCACTACTAGATCGGGGTTATTGTTGAACGCTTTACCAAAATCACCTACTTCATAACGCTCAAGACCGAGGCAACAAGCGAGGAACTTGCGCATATATTCCTTCAAGAAATATGGTGACTACATGAACTATCTGAAGAAATCATTTCTGATCGGGACTTCAGATTCGAAAGCAAGTTCTGGCATTCATTGATCAAGCTTCTCCGAGTCAACCTTTGTCTGGCTACGGCATATCGTCCTCAAGCTGACAGGTGAACTGAGAGGGTCAATCAAACGCTAGAGCAATATTTCAGAAACTTTTGGTCCTACAAGTAGGACGATTGGGCAGGGTTACTGCCGCTTGCACAGTACGCCTACAAAACGGCAACCTAATAGTCCACTAAAGTATCTCAGTTCTACAAGAACTATGGGTTCGAGCCTGATTCCGATTGGTATCCGCGCAGAAGGAAGCTGTACAATGCCAATGTTTCCAGTGCCGTACTAAAGTTCAAGTAGAAAGCTCTTTGGAAAACTATGAGGACTGATATTTTTAAGGCACAGGCCCGGCAGAAGAAATGGTATGACCAGAAGCATATGAAAGCTCCAGAACCTGAAGATGGGGATAAGGTGATGATGGACCGATGCAATATGGTTGCCAATCGACCCTCAAGCAAGCTTGACTACAAGAAACTATGTCTCTTTGAGGTTGATGAGAAACTTGTTGTTGCGTTCTACAGGCTGAAGCTTCCCTCTCAATGGAACATTCATGATGACTTCCAAATATTTCTGCTAGAGTCCTATCGGGGACTGAAATACCCTCGACGCACTGAAGTCCCTCCTACTCCAGATGAGGTCGAAGGCGAATACAGTCACGTTATCCGACAAATAGCTAATAGCCGATGGCAACATGCTAGGCATTAGAAAATGTTTGTAGAGTATCGCAATGTTTGGAAGGGCTATCGTTCGGAAGACTCCTGGGAACCATATGAAATTCTGCAAGGAAGAGCCGATGAGGCCCTGAAAGTATTTCATCAAAAATACCCGCAAAAACCTCGGAAAATACGGGGAAACTTTATGGATCCTCAAAACACGGCGTGAGTAGCTCTGTATCCCAGAAGAAATCCGGAAACAAAAACCAACTCTCCTGTACCAGGTTTTTCATCGGTCTGACAGAGTTCGGATACCATTTTTCCCTGAAAACAATACAAGAAATGATTGAAAACTGAACAGTGAGGAAACCCGCGTAAAAAAGACAAGGGAAAAAGAGAGATTCTTGCTAACCTCGAAATCTCCACTAGTGGGACGGAAGGTTCTACGACAAGAGTGGAGAATATGTCATTTTCTTTGTTTTTAAAAGGCATTTCATGTTAGAGTTTTCCTTCTCTGATGGAGATAGAAACAGACATGTAGTTTGTAAGTAATCACCAATAGAGCTACAGTTTTTCTTCGATACCAAATACTAATATTCCAGTAACACTACAGTGGACGCAAAACGAGTCTACCACAGAGGAGAGTAATGTAACAGGGCAACTATGAGTCTGTTACAAAAGAACCTATTCCATCAGTTGAGCCACCGACCCTAACTAACAGCAGCTTGTTCTTCATTGACATGTGATGACAAGGGCAGTTGGGCTCCTACCTTTATTGGTATAGAGGACAGTGATCTCAATGAGTAAGAAGTCTTACAAGTCAAAAATAGGGGGTTGAGCAAGCCTGGAACAGAAGTACAAAGATGGCTGATAGCACAGGGAACCCAGGCCGGGAGTTCCCTACCTAGGCAGTCGAATATTTGAGGTTTCATATCTCTTCAACTGACGCTAAAAGACCATTCGTTAGCACGACAGACATGATTCTGGTGGTGTCCCGGAGCTAATGGGAAATCTAATTCTAAAAACACGTTTTAATCCCCAATACTAACATCCGCAGTGTCAAACTGCCGGAATGCTCCTGTTTTGCTCCGGAGCATCTTTGGGGATTGGGAGTGCGACTCAAGCTGCTAAAGCAAAACTTCGGTTTACAAACACCCAAATCGGTTCTAATAAAGTTAGCATAAGCAATTATTATCTAGTCGGCTGTTTCCAATAGTTCTTAAAATTCCGACCACAGCTTTTGGCAAATTGCGTGATTCGACTCAGACAGAAGTTCATTCAAGGTGTCGTAGTTACGCTCCTCTCCCCTGATAGAAAATAGTTGCTATACCCCCGACTATCAACAGGCAGACTGTCAGTCAGAAAAAGAACTTGAGCAACCATGCTGTATTCCTATAAACTACTCGGTGTTACCCCAGGTTGGCCTCTCATCATCACCGGATCTTTAATAGAGAGAAGACCCTTTAAAGTTATCATTTTCTAGACTTGAGAACGTTCAAACATACAAACTGCATTTTCTTCTTTCTGAACGAGTATCATCAAAACTCACTCTCTTTATTTACACTATTCGAAAGGAAGTCACGGTTATGCCACATCATAGTACGTCAGTTACATGTGGTTGTCGATCGTCATTGACATAGTCGCATATGCTTCCACCATGTTGGGTCTGTCCGACAATCTTTCCGCCAATTCGCCAATCTTGACTCCTTTGTTGTAATGCAAGTGGGACATGTTTCTGATGAACTGCGAGTACTAGGTGGCAAAGTCTCCTTTGCCTTGCCTCATGGGGACGAGTTGGTGGTGGGTGGTACTTCGGGTGTTTAGTTCTCTAAATGAGCCTTCCATGTGGTCGACGAAGAAGGTGACGGAGGAAAAGAAGTCAACAGGATTGGCATTAACAAGTGGTCTAACCTGATCAAGGGCTCTTCCCTCCAAACAGCTGACCGTGTAGATAACCTTTACTGTCTCATTGGCAGTGTTATCACGGTTGATCTGGTTGGTGTTTTGTTTGATTGGTTCAATAGCGATGCTGAGGGCGTTACTAACTACCCAATACATATAGTTGAGGTCTATTCTGGCGTTTGATTCCTGGAGGACAATCCTTGAGTAAAATGTAGTCATATCTGGGTTTGTATTGTTCATTGTATGGGGCGTGTTCTGCGAAGATGAAGAATGGTTCATTGTTCAGTTGGATTTGTTCGATGATAGTAGATTGAGTTGATTGAGCCTGTTGGGTTTCGGCGGAAGATGAGGGGGCAAAAATTCCTGTGGGTAGGGGTCTCACAAAGCGGAAGTTCAGGAAGCCTTGCTGGGACATGACGGATATCCCGGATCGGTTGGGGGCAGGGGAGACCTGTGAAAGTCTTCTTTTCCTGCCTGCAGTCCTCGGTGGGGTAGAGGAGCATAAGGGGGTTGAGTATACCAGGTTATAAGTATTTTGCTACGGTAACGAAGGTTGTTTTCCTTTCTTAAGCAAGGGGTTTGGGGGGGATAAGGGTTCACAATTCAGGGACCAGAGTGACAATAACTTAATATAAAAACAGATGTGCGATAAGATTTTTGTATATTATTTGGTCTATGGACATACAGGATCGTGTTTGCAAAATGATTTTATTGATTTTGATAGGATTATAAGTTGTTAATGTTATGTATTAGAGGTTAGTTTATGAGTATATTTGAAAATTTTCTTTGGGTTTCTGGGTTAGCGGCTCTCAGATAAAACTAACATATTTCAAAAGAATTCAGTTTGTGGATTGGAAAAATATAATCCAGTAAGTTACGAGAAGTAATCCATTTGCTTAGTAATTTTGACCAACCCTAACAAGGGGAGATGGAAAACCAGACTGCAACAATACACAATATGGAATGTCGGTCATGGATCGTCACTCACATATTGGGTTGCAGGTATTGCACATAGCGTTGTTTGAGATTGAAATCCGAATTAGTGTTAGAAAACACACCGGGTGGTAACCTGGAGGTCAGAATCCGAGTTGGTGTAAGAACACACAACGGAGACAAAAAGTGGGATTCGCCCGATACGGTAACCCGCTGTTCGGAATCCGAAATTTATGTATTCCATCGAAGCAGAGGATGGGGAAATGCGGCATCATTGAATTTCGTACGCCGTCATGATCGTGGGCTCGAGACGGTGCGTTCGGTGCCATGCAGTCATCGATCGTTGTACCCGCGCGGTGAGTGGCGGTGCCGGGAGTGAACCAGGACGTGTCGCCAAGACTCACGGTGAGTTACCCTACTCAACGGGCCCCAACCACCACCTCCGCCCCCGCAATCACGACCACGACCCCCTGTACGCGCATACCTGATGATGGGAATGGACTCGGATCGTCCTGTTCAACTCATAGCCACGGAGCCCGGAATTGTAGGGCGACGGTTCCCGGGCAACCTCAAAATCCTGTCCGACATTCCACTACTAGAACCCTCACCCTAACATGGGTTGAATTTAGTTGAATGCTTGAAAAGCCATGAGGACATTCATGAGTGCTCTGGAAACATTAGACCCAATTGGACTCTCTAATTCAAAATTCGTTTCGTTCTGCTATCGATTTGGATTGAAAGGAGTAGGTGACGTTTCAGCCGCTCAGTATATGAGTCTGGCTATTCAGCAAGCTCACCCCAAGATGGCAATGCCTATCCATTTTTGCTGCTTATGCATTGACATTGAGCTTTTCAGGTGAGCTGTATCATAGCTTTGACCTGAAGGCTAATTATGTCTTTCACGAATCGACCAAAACATACACCTCCATCAAAGGTTGGCTAGTCATCTCTAGTATACAGGACAATGTTCATATCAGTATCCCGCAGCTGACCGTACAGCAGCATTGAGGATATCCACATTATATATCATTTGAGGGACTGGTATCTTCCTATCCTTTGACAACGTCGTATCAATACAAAGGGGGTAAGATGAGGGTTGCATCACCTTGTATGGGTATGATGAATGCCTCAGCTCAGTGAGCATTGGTAAGTGCTCTGGGAGCACTCACAGGTATCACTCGGGTTAGCATTCATGCCAGCATACGCGGGAGCATTCGCGGGAGCATTCGCGGGAGCATTCACAGGACTATTCGTGGGAGCATTCGCGGTGCCGTGAGAAAATTTGCCGTACCATAAGAGCATTCGTCGTGCCGTGATTGCATTCAAGAAAACTTTGAGAGCATTGGAAAGTGATCACATGGTACTACTGACATAATCAAAAGAAACAAAGGTTCTATAGGTGCTATTGACGGGGTCACTTCATCTTAGCCTCTCCGGACGGGGAGCTAATCTCATGGTGGCTTTCATGGATCGACTGGTGAATACATTGCGTTACAAGGAGTTGGATTAGTCAGAAGGGTTCTATTTGGTTCTATCGGGTTCTGTGGGTTGTAAGCGTATGAGTCACTTCGGATTTGTCATCGCTAGGATTTCGTTAGGTATATTTAGGAAGGTTTCGTATTCGTTTCTTGTTCTTCTTCTTTTCTTTCTTTTACTACGCAACGTCTTCTGTATCTACACTGTCTATTACTATACAATATTATCTTTCTTTTCTTTACTCAAGAAGACCACCGCCTCGCTTCCGCTTGTCCCGTTGACCCTTACCAATGCTAGAGTCCCTTAGGACCCCTATCGCGAGTTCCCAAACCGACCCCTACTACAGCCTTCATACCCTGCGGAATACTCGCTACCCGCCCCCTTGAGAGTGGCCCAGGTGAGTAGAGCTTTGGTGAATGACCTCCAGACGTAAGCCATATCTCCTGGCAGTGGCGGAAGGTTAGGCACTCCTGGGATGGAGTTGGGCGCGAATAGTGTACACTGGCAGCGACAGGCCGTTAGGTACTCAGGGCGTGGAACGCCCGGCAGGAAGAAGAGGCTACGCCCTGAGTAATATGCGAGCTTGCTGTTAGACCTAGTCAAAGAGTTCTATGAACGTTATCAATGCAAAACCAAAACCTACCAAGTGTTAGACCTCGGAGGGGGACTTGATCTGTAACGACATATTGGCATCACGGTCGGATATTGTGTTAGGGTTTAAAGAGAAAGTACTTGACAACGAGATTAGAATTAGTAATATGGGTTTCCTTTGGGTTCTATGGGTTTCCATTGTACGAATGTATGAGTCATACTCAGACTGGGGTTATTGGATCCATAAAGGGATTCTGTCTCTCGTTGATGTTCTGTTTCTCTCTTTTCTCTTTATTCAACTTTCTTCGTTCTCTTTGTATTGTTAGCTTACAAGACTATCTTTGTCCTAAATTACACAGAGTCAGGTCACCTGAATCCTGGGATTTAGATAGCCCACTTGAGTATTTCTACAGTCCATAGTTTAAGTCCACGTCGTCTGCCTCAGTTGTTTTCCTTGGCAATCATTGTTTATACTTCCATCCACGTCCAAAGGTCTACGTAACATACATTTTCCCAATCTAGCCTTTCCCACTCTTCCCTAGCTTGGGCTTCAATAACTTTTATGTTTTCATTAAGAGTAGCCTCTCTTCACCTTCCGGACCTGTCAAAAGGCATGGCTAGGGAATAGTCGTGGGGCTGTATTGCGGGTGCGGGAATGTCAAGTTAGACGAACTCGTTGTCACGCTACTCATTGTTTCCTCACTTTTTTCCTGCGGGTGTACATAGAACCAATTCTGAACCATAGATCATGAAGAAAACCCGTAAAAACCTACCCAAAATGCCCAAAATTTCTCGGGGGCGCTCCTCGCGCCCCGGTGCCCCCCCCCCCCCCCCAAAACCCACCCACCCGTCACCTTAACCCTGAGGGCCGTGGTTGACCACAGTCCGACTGCAGTCCATCAAAAAGGGACGCCCGACTCCGCCAGTCTGTGAAAGTCAGCGCAGTCGGTCGTGGACGGGTCTATACCCAGCGCTGAAGTCTCCAGCACTAGTTACATACTCATGGCAGAGGTTCTAACGATTGATCAACGTCAATAGATTGGACAGTATATTTATTCCTCTCCTAGGCTTTAGCAAATCTATATGGACAAACAGATAAATATTTAAGTCAGAATGGATATTCCATTCCCTGATTATAGTGGCGCGGCAGGAGGCCGCACTGTTTTTTTTTTTTTTTTTTGTTTAATTCATCGGAGGCCGCACTGCACTTGTATATCTACATAATAACCACAAGCCATGTAAACAACACCGGCACTTCCAGCTAGCCTTCATCGCTTCTAGTTCATAATGGGCATAAACAAGACAACACTGTTGAGATGGTTTCGTGATGAAAAACTTGATTGATTGATCAAAGTACAGTGATGATTCGTGACACGAGAAGGAAAAGAGGAAGACAGGAAAAATGACAGTGGGTGCGGGTGTAGGTACAGGTAAGCAACGGTCACAGAGAGCCCCCTTTGATACTTCCTCCACTGGACGCTAATGACCGTCACTCCAATAAACACGAGACTAGAGTAGTCTTCTCTCGTCTTCTACCAATAAGTTTCATCTTTTGTAATTGCCAATACATCAAGGTCGGCCTTTCCAAAGTCTCCAGGCTTCGTGGCCAGGTCTTTCCGGCGAAAATGACCTTCAATGGCTTGATCAGATTGCAATCTCTTTTAATCAGTGCCACGTCAGATCAGACAAGACTGTATAGTTAGGGTTAATAAATATTTTCCCTCAAAAGAAAGTCTTGAGACCTTTGCATAATGGTCCCACATTGTGCATTCCGCTTTACATTGTATCGTCTTCTCTTGTCCGAAGTCTCTAGATGAACTCTTGCCAGATTTTATCTTACACGCTGCAATACACAAAACGGGGTTATAGATCAATTCCAGAGACAGGGCCTACGTTTTGCGTTTTAGGAACGTTTAATGGTACGAGATATTGTTGGACATGACCTGTAGCATTTATTCATCCCCTCACCCAGATTGCCCATCTAAGCCTTGCCCTTTTCCGCCGGCAGTACGATAACGTGTAGGAGGCATTTCAAAATAATTATATCACTTATTGCTAGCGCTAGTACAGCTGGCAAAACTTATTTCTCCTTATATTACAAAATAAGAGCAGAATAAAGACAGTAGAAATATCCATGTTAATTGGAAAAGCGTCGAATGTTTATAAATCAATATAAGCGTTGAGACATGAACATTATTCGTAAATCCTGTGAAATCGCTTAGCATGAGTTGGAACGAACCTTAAGCCAGAATCTTTCTAGGATTGGAACACACCTTTCTTTAACCTCTCTCCGTCATATGCCGATCTCTATCATACGGTCAGTGTGTTTGTGATACCTCTGGACTGTATACTGCTTGATCGCGTAGGACTCCCATGAGAGTTTCCCTTTGTTATTTCGTAGTGGATGAGGTCGGAAATAAAATCACTCCTTGATTCCACCAGTCAGCTGATATATAATTAAAGGTACTTATGCCATCAATCTTTTAGCTTACCTAAACTCGAAAGCCACACAAACGGCATATGTGATTGCGAGAGTCATAGACATAGAGGTTGCTACTCTGTAATCCATCCATTCAGATGGATGAGGCATAAACGGTGCGTCGAATGGAAGGGTTACCGCCAGAAAGCATATGAAAATCCCGATTCCTGATATTATAGCAAATACAAATCCGTAGAACACACCAGGGGCGGTTCTATCCTCCCACTGATGCTCCAGTGACAATTTGCAATCAGCACATTTGTTCCTGAGTTTGTGACCATGCCAGTACTTTGAGCTGTTGGATTTGTTTTCGACAATGGCTTCCGGCATCCCTGTCAAGATTCGTATCATTGCAGCTTTTTCCTCTTCCAAATCATAGGTGATCATGGTTATCCCCGTACTTGTTTCCAGAAATCTTCCCACAACCAAACTGACAGTCCTGGATACCCACATGACGCACATAAAAGCGGCCACGAATAACACGGTCCACTCGAGAGAACCTCCCCAGATGCTTCCAAACATAAAGGTGAGTGCCAAAATTGATGCGGACTGTATCATACCATCCAAAGCGGTTTTGATGTCATCTGAGCGGTTGGAGTGATGTGCTTTTCTCACCACGATTATTCGTGGGTGCGGTTGTCCTAGCCTGTCAATCGTGCGGTGCAGCCAGTTCATCTTGAAAAATGACAAACGAGGGCTACAAATCTCAAATCAGCCAAGGAAATGGGGTATGAAGCTTGGTATGGCATACATCCTGCAGCGGAAAAAAAAGCCCCCCATCTCACCAATCCTCGCTATGGCCCGCGTGATTCTAGACGATTTCACCGGAGCGACTTCTACATGCATCACCGAGCATTTCTGGCATGCGGTCCTACTATCCGTAGGGTCCGCAGGCTGATCCGGTATAGGTGATATATACAGGACTTCGTCGTGCTTGGTGAACGAGGACACGGCAATGGTGCGAATGATGGCGGAGAGTATGGCAGTTACTGACAACCAAGAGTTAAATATTATCGTTGTGGTCTCTGGACAACCCCATATGAACCGTATGGATTCAATCTGCGGAAGAGCTCGAACAAGAGTGCCAAACAGGAGAATCTGTATAACGTTGGATGTTGTTATCACTATACTGATGTAAATGGACCGCTTATTTCCGGATGTGCTGGACGCGAGAGCGCAAAGCTTCGGATTGCCCACCCCCACTTTGTACAGTGCGCCCAACTCCTCAATCTCTTTCGCCAGCTCGTGCTCACCCATGATTTCGCCAGGATTTGCTAACAGTGACAGAATGTAAGCGATTGGGACATACAGAAATACTATCGCGCAGCTGAAGATTTATTTATATACCGTATTTTGTTATCTGGGCGGCTGTGCAAAGATCCGGAACGCTCATTATCTTCTCATCCTTCAATGTCTTCTTGTACGTCATCGTCAGGCCTAATGTCAAGGCGCTGGTGAATAGCGCTAATCTTGTGTTTATGAAGTTTAGTGATCTGATACTCGCCATCGGCATCGCCGCAAAGGTCAGCATAGCAGGGACGAGAGTCATGACTGTGGTCGCAGCAGAGGAGGCCGCTTTGTCATATTCATCCGAGTTTTCGAGAATTTGGAGATAGGCACCCTGGCAATCCGATTTTCCAATCGAGATACCCCAAATCCTCTCAACGTACTGACCAGTCTCGTTTTTGACAAGATGAAGTCTCCTAGGCGATAAGGAGGGCGGGTCGAGAAAGCCATCCTGCGCGCTGGTGCCCTCGAACATTGAAAACAAGATCAGTAAAACCGCATAAGAGCAGTTGGAGAGCACCCGGCCGCTTCGGAGGGAATAAGTCATGGTACAGCTGCAGTTGACGCCACGATACAGCTGTGAAGAGATGGCCCTAGATCTTGTCCAGGCATTAATTCCAGTACTAGTACTTGACAAAAAGTTAAATTAGGAGATTTCGACAAGAGTGAAAAGTGTTCCTACCGAAAATAGCACCTACAATTGAAATTACCAACCCAATCTTTCGAGCTATCGCCGAGGAGCAGATCCGTAGAGCTAGTTCTGTTCGCGTGGAGGCCAGGTACTTGGCAGTATAGACTCCCGTACTACCGAGTATCCTGGATATATATATAGAACGTGTTGGCTTTGTTGAACTTCGCATCAGGATCACTCCAGTGTAGAGACCTGGAGAAGAGAGAATTTAAAGGTGTTAAATATGGTGACGGACGACAGACTATTTGTTAGATCGAAGGTACATACCCAAGTCATCCACAATATATATATATCCACACGGCCAAATGGTGTGAGCCCTGCGCCTATTGGAGAGTGATTTTTAACCCCCCCGCCCCCCAAACATGCCCTGCATGTCGCACAAGTACTCTGCATCTCGAGGGTCAGATTGCAAGGCACCCACCCGTGTGAATAAGACTTCTGCGTGACCTTGGTAATTAAATTCCCAGACCAACACCACAGGCAGCAAGCGCTGCGCCAATACGCGGGTACGTACATGTAACTAGGTACTGTATATCTACTATATCCCCTCTTTTGAATATTTAGAATATTCAATACTTAGGAGACTTAGTTTTTCGTGAAACCACCACACCTCTACTCGTCCAGACGCGGGGAATCAATTTCAAGACGCGATTGCCCATAGCTGCTCGAGCACTTAGTATGCATGTCTCAGGTTGCCGCAGCTGCACATCATCGAGTGATCACACAAGCACTTCGATATGTGTAAACATTACGGGTAACACACCCAGGTAAACTTTCGGACACGATAACAGCATTAGCCTGGGCAATTTTGAGATATTCCAGACTATACCGTTTACACCGCGAGGCGAGTGCTCTCTTGTGATTGAGGCCGGCCATTTTGGCTGTATTTCATTTCGGCCGGAATATTTTGATTGGCCCTCTACCTAGCAATAAACAGCACTTTAAAGGACTTCTTCCGATGGCGATTCTTCAGGATTGACTGGGTGTTCGTATACCCCGTTGACCGCCTCGGATTAGAGAGCGCAGAAACATGCCCGACCACCGCTTAGAACAAACCCTTGCAAGCTAAGCTTTGTATATAACCGCTGCTTGTCTCGATAATCTTTCTCAATAGGCATCCCACTCAACGTACAAAGAGGTTGATATCTGTCTCTCGCCTTGTATCGAACCCCTCCGAAAGCTTTGCTTAGGTCAGTACGTACTGGCGCCAGTAAAGCACCTACATGATGCGCTCTAGAGTGGTACTCTAGAGTAGAGTGCTCTACGCGCAAGAGGCCTGAAGTACCCGGAAATGCAGCTGCAAGGTTTTGGTGTATTTTTGACTTCTACTCCAATGGCAATTGCAGATTAGGGCTTGCATTTCGGGGTACTTGTTACCTGCTGCGAGTACTCTGGTGCACGATGCACCAATCGTCACTGTACAAACGTGTACTTTAAGCACCCTAGATGTACAATACGAGAGTACAAGTAGATTTACTATAGGTACTTTGTAGTAGACCAGTTTGCTCTCCTGCGGTACATATGCTTAGTATAAACAAAGGTTTACTGAGATTCTAAGCAAGAGATAAAAATGCTTTTATTGTAAATACCTCGGGCAATAGGCTGAGAGAGTTACAAGTGTTGACACCTAGCTACTGGCACTGATACGTGGCGCCTAATTCAATGTGTGCCGAAAAAGAAACTTTTCGGCAGAGTTGGGTTGGCCATGATTGGCGAATGCGCAGTGTCTCACTTGGAAAACTATGCGCATGGCTAAGACATGCATACCGCTGTAGCTGGAGACTTCAGGTTCAAACACCAGCTGCACCTACTCAAGTTAGGCCGGTCTTGTTTCTTTTCGCGAGATAACCAAACATTTGAACTAGATCCTGGTCAGGCTATCTGGAGGTATGCCAGCCTCGTCATTAACAAACCCACTACAGAACCGAGCTTTGGTGTCTCGGTGTGCCTACTCTATGTCGCACCCCCTCATACCCGCTGCTTAGCACTCGTGTTCATGTCAGTAAGATCTAATGACAGCCGAGTGGCGAGCTGAAAATGCTTCGCTCTCGGCAACCCATCAACGATAGCCCCAACGAGCTAGAAGAAAGCTTGGACCTGCATACAATCATCTACTCTATGTAGAATCTCCAGAACTGACATGGTATTAGAGCATTTTACCTGCGCTGTTTCGACAGAAACTCAGTTTGGGCAGCAATTCATGCAAATAGGAAGTGCAGGTGTTTCTGTCCAAATACTCAAAATTGTAGCCAAAGCAAAAATTCACTGTCAGCCCATCGCGCCTTCGCTGCGAGGTGGTCGCTATGTGGAAGAGTAGGATATTTTACACAAAGAGTGTTTTTTGGGCGCAATGGCCATTGTATTATGTAAAGCAAAAGTCGGAAGGTATGGCCAGTCCCACTCTTGAGATCTCGTGAAATCCAGTTCGAGCTGGGAAACATGAAAAGCCTACCGCGAGTACTGCGCTATTTTACACCACCCGTCTCATCCCTCGGAACATGCACGCCATATACTCGCAATTTCACAGCGTTTCCGGACGCAACTGCTATTGCATACACAGAAAAAACCCGCCAAGGCTATCTTTTATATGGCATGCAATAGTGGTCGCGTCCGGAAACGTCAAAAAACTACGAGTACATGCATACTCGTTCTATCGTCCGGCCTGCGGAGTAGATGAAAGCTCTCTCGCGACAGGAAAAGTTTCCATCCTTGAAATCGAGCTATGGGTTAGGGTTTTCACACGTGCTACTATATCGATATAGTATTTCATACCTGGTTCCAAAACGAATGCCCTGGTAATGATACATGTTTCTTTTTTAAAAAATAAAAAAAAGGATAATACTAAGCGGTCTTACAATTCTGCATGTGTTTTCCCACTCCACCGGGTGGAAACTACCACAACCTTTCAATTCTAAGACATCATCTGCTCTGCGACAATCGGATTGATCTTACTGATGTTTTGTTTTCTCGCGTGACCTGGCTGCCCACCAATATTCATGCACAGGCGAAACCCGACTGGTTATATGTATACAGCACTTTCCCACAGTTCCCATCGAGTGGAGGGGCGGGGGGGGGGGTGCTTTGGAGGCGGGGAAAAGCATCAACATGTGGGGCGTATATTTACTGGCTTTCTATCGAAGGGCTGTATCAGGTTTATCACTAGGATGATCATGGTAGACGCCTTTGATATGAGGTTACATACTTTAGGGGGGCCAAATTTAGATACTGCTTGCCTAAAGTGACAAGTCAATAAAAAGTTACCATCGAACCCCATTGTAAATCACTTTGTGAGATAGTGGAGCATGCCACAGGCCAGACACGACTCTTCTTCTGTCTTTCTGTTTCCGAGTGATATATCATGATGCATTCCCGGAAGGTGTGCGAGGGTGCTGGACTGGGAGAATATGGTCAGATCGCTTAGTATGCCGAACAACTTTTTTCTTTGACATGGTCCCGAAGCTGTGAGAAATCTACCATATTTATTATTTATTGCCTGGTGTCTAACCACATAACAATCTACATATACCCCGCTCGTTCAAGAAACCGCAAATCACGTGACTTACCGATCATGATCTACTACGCATGTGTGCCATGCCTGCCTAGCTGCGCATAAGTACAATACATGATATTGGATACTCCACGGTAGAGTATATCTCTGCACGCGCACCACACGATATGATGTAGCTATCCGCACCAAGCAACCGGTGGGTTGCCTGAATTATTGATGTGAGCTGCCTGAAAGCTGTTTGCACCCTAAAAGTCAGCCCGGAAACACACGTCTCTACAGGTCTTACTCGAGCACCTTTCCTGTGCCTGTTACTACCTCTGTATCAAGTATCTCGTCGCTTGTGTTCGAATCGAATCCTCCATATTCCATAGTGTTCTCTTGAGTGCGATATTGATTACCAGTCTCGATATCAGCTATTCCTAATCTCTCAAAATCAGTCATAGCATTAGGCCAGCAATCCTCTTGGAGTGGATAGGAATCTACCTACTTGCGTCACATTGCTCATGTAAAATCAAAGATGGCATCTTCATCTAGACAAAAGTACCCATTCATATGTCTCTATGATCATTTCCAGCGCAGAGCACTACTAACAAACACCTTCTAGCACACGAATCTGCAACCAATTCTCCCGTACCGGTACATGTACCTTCCCCAACTGTCGCTATACGCACACCTCCACCGGCCCCCCTCCCCCGAAGGCTCCATGCAACTACTTCTTCGCGCGCGGTCATTGCCGTTTCGGTGATGCCTGTAAATACTCCCATGATACAAGCGTTACTCGTCCGCCTGAAGATCCCGCCAGCGCCACCTCACTGTATAAAGGCTGGTCCGAATTGCTCGGAAGTCGCACCTCCGCTCGCACCGCACGCGGACTCCTCTCTGACCTGACTGTAGACCAGATGGAACGTTTCCTGGCCGATGCGCACAAAATACTGGAGATTGGGACATCAGAGTCGGTACAGCAGCTTATTGGTGACCTAGGGTCGGAACGAGGGTTGAGGAGAATTCTGCAGTTGGTGGAGTCCAATTTTGCGCTTGGGTACTCGCCGAGTGGGATGGGATTCAAGAGACATTGTCTTGTATTCTTGAAGGTGGTTGCACACGAAGAGATGCGGGCATCGTTGGTGCTCGAAAAGGAGGTTGGAACGATCTTCAACTTTATATATGGCCCGGGTGGACGACGGGGGATAGACTTCTTCACGAGAGTAGTTGATCAGCTTGAACGACTCTCCGAAACAGACACGAGGGAGGAGCTTGAGGGTGCGCTGCTCCCAAC